TAAACTAAACTGAGTTGTTATCTACAATTAATACTTAGATATTAATTTCTAAAAATTGCCGAATAAGTGCATATCTTCCCAGCGCGGAGAAATATTTTCTTTCGCTATTCGTAATAGCGTTTCTAATAGGCGTATTCAGCAACATCAACAATTGAGTGAGCGTATGCTGCTATTGTAGTATATTTTTCTACACCTAAATGCCTGATTAGATGATTTAGTAGATAAATATAAACTATTCATTTTTTTTACAATGTCTATATTTCAATATTTTTTTATATCAAATTTGATATTTAACTTGTAAGTTTTTTCTCAAACAGCTTGTAAAAGATGTCTTAAAACATATTTCACAACGTATTTTTTTAATTTTTCATTTAGACACTTTCTGTCTACTTTTGTGTTGTTTACATTGGGCATGTTTATGTCTTTCTTATCAAATACTATTGTGAAATTTGTGTAGAATATTTGATATATAAATAATGATAAATAAACATTTGAGAGAGTACTTTACTGCTTCGGATATATATCTAATGCTCGCATATATTCTTATAATTTATCCCAATTTCACATCGATGTTTTAACATTTTAATTTGCTCATTAGCGTCTTAGTTGCCTCTTACGGTCTTGAAAGTTTCATTCGCTCCGCGAAGGATGAAAATGATTCTCACGGGAACAGATTCGATTTTCCCTTTAAAATTACCTTTCGAGGTTAATGAATCTTCATCTTTGAGAGCACGATAACAGTTTCTTCATTTTCTCCTTTTTGGTTGTGATCATAACGATCAATTCTCTAATCATTACATGGATGATTTCAATCAGTTTTTTTGCATCGTGTAGTTAAAGATTACTTTTTTAAGTTTCTGTGTAAGTAAATGTCACTTTAACCCAATATTTGTAGATTCTTTATCTAAAATTCAAACAGTCAATAAATTATCCAATTTCTTTATAAACGAAACATGTATTAATTTTATCTATAGTCCTAAACTTTAATTCTAGTTAGAGTCTTGCATAAATAGTACCAACAATTTATAGAGCTTTAAATAGATGTCCCATATCTGTCCTGAAATCTGTCCAATTAGGGTAATACAGAGTCATACATCAACTTCTAACTGCTATGGATAATCATTGGTGAAAATGCGTCTATATTGATCTACATTTATATATGTAATAATAATCAAAACTAATACAAAGTGCGTCACCAAAATTCGAACAAATTTCAATTTAAATTTTTCGCTATATTATGCCTCCGCCAGAAGTTGTTAGCGTTCAAGAAAGCCTGATGCTTCTAGTAAAGAGTCATATTCTCAAAATGACCGCGATATTGAAAACAAGTGCGGAATATAATTGTTTTGTGATTCAGAGAGGCAACATTAATATCTCATGTTATGTTTTCATTTATGAATAATATTCAATTAAATCGAATACAATTCATATATCAAGCATATAACGCTTAACAAACACATTTCGCTGCCTCTATGTTATCGCGTATTTAAGATGGCGATTTCGCTTGGGAGAACTCGAGTCTCTGGATCGCCTTTCGGACAATGCCTGCTGTCGAGTCACTACGTATAACTCGTGGCCAGACTATACTCATGACGATACCTAGGGGAAACCCTGAGTTGCGATCACGCACGCAAAACGTTCTGGACTTAAACTCGCTCTGAATTTATATATGCACCCTTGCTCAGTCCGTGATCGAATGAATATTTTCACGCCACGATTCTCCCACGATCTTTCTCCTGATTGGTGTCTCCGAAAACATGGAGACCACGGTTAGCGGCGGCAGCGTTTCGAACAATCACAAACGGATTGACGATCATACATGCCGATCTGTACCGACACCGCGTTTTCTACTCTTAGAAATGCCGATTTCTATTCTAATAATTTTTTATTCTAATAATTATTTTTATTCTAAATGTCTCTTTATTCTAAATGTCATCTTATAAGTATTATTATTATTATTATTATTTAAATAAGTTGTTTAACAGCATGTGATGTCAGTATCGACGTGAAAAATAAAATTTAATTTTTAAAATTATTTTTATATGTAAAATTTAGTTTATTAAATCTTATTTTTTAGTTCTCATCAGAGATTTTAGAGCATCTGGCCATAACGGCAAAAAAAATGATATATCATTCGAAATTTTTACGATGTAATTTTTAAAATTTTTGAACATTTAATTTTTAAGAAATTATTTTATCTTACTTACAATCAATTTGCTATACATGTTTTTATATATTTCTTATCTATCTAGTGCTTCTCGGCATAAAAATAAATTGTAAAGATCACACTTAATTATTTTTACTACTATCTTTTTTAAGATGACAAGATATTTGATAAGATGACCTTACACAATAAATAATACTGTCAGTATTAAAAAATATTGACAAAATGACTGATCGTGCGTTAATATTGATAGATTGACGTAATATACTGACAGTGATCTGGATTTTGATTCTCGAGCATCAGTGTCACTTTATTAGGATAAATGTCACAATGCAATAGATAATGTTCGTAAAACTGAAGCGGAATATAATTGTCAATAACACTGATGGTGTAAGATTATAAAAATATTAAAAATCTTGATGCATATAGTCAATATTATTGATTCAATATTACTGATCAGTTTTATTAACGATGTAGAGTCATCTTTAGATCATAAAAACATCAATATCATATGTATTTGTCATGTTTGATTCGAGCAAAAATAGACATCTGTTAAAAATGAAATTAGTGTAAGGCCTAATGTCAAATCTAATGTGAAATCGATCTAAGACCTCAGATGAAAGAATTGACCAATTGATCATGTGATCAAATTGTTCAAATGTGATCAAATTATTAATTTTTTTCTGTTTGAGATCTATATATTATATTATATTATACACTTATATTTATGGTAAAAAGTTTGTTGAGGAGACTACTCAGACTTTTTGGTTGATTCTTTATTAAAAAATTATTCCTTTTATGTATAAACATATGATGTTGAAGTATATATGTAGACATATTTTAAACTAAATATTTATAACATTGAACAATTTTTAATCTTCAAATATCTTTCATAAGCAAGAATGCATAATAATATTTCGAGAAGCACTAAGGAATATTATTCATCATTTTGCCCATCTGTCGCGTTCTTCCCTCACATTATTTCTTTGAAGATCAGAAGTCGAATTACACGAATATAATTCAGTTCGCTTAGAATAATGTATAATTATGATATGTTGTTCTGCTGTACATTTAACGATTTTTGCAATGTGCATGTAGACTGTAGTAGACGTTTTTTTTTCTCTGGAAATACGCCAAGAGATAAGTTCACAAGAAAAAGGAATTAACAATTACGCATCGAATTTGTTTATCAATAGTTTGACTTAGATGTCTTTATTAATTTACGTTGTTAGATTATCAACAGAAAATTACATGTCCAATAAAAAAAATTAGTTCTATCTGCATTTGCTGTTATACTATATAATACATGATGATTGATCCTATCTACGTAGAAATGCACTGAGTGGGGATATACTTGAAGAAATACATGATATATTGAAGAAATATTTCATTTACTTCTTATCTAGAGAATCAAACAAATGTGCAAACATTGATCTTTATTTTCTTACATATTAAAAACTATTGGCAAATGATAATCAGAAGCACTGTTAGTCCAATGCTGAAAATTGGTTTTCAATTATTCGGCATTTGGCCGGGTGTCTCGTATTCTACCATTCACAGTATGAGTATTATATCAAGCATATTGATCATACAGTACTTTCAGTATTTGTACATTTTTAAACACTTCAAGATCAGTGAGATCTCGAATCTTAATGACAGTTTGAATTTAACTTTTACGTACGGTTTGACGGTATTTAAATTGATTTATCTGTGGATACGTCGTCAGTAAGATATTCTATTACTATATAATTCAACTTTGTTCAATTTAGTTTAATTCTGTGTTCGTAAAATAAATTTTTTTTCTCAGTTTTGTTGATTTGGTTTTCCATAAGCAAAAGTGATATATCATCATCTCTCTAAACTTTAGTTTGAGTGTTAAATACAACATTGATAATCCTGCGAAAAAAGTGCGATTTTTCTATCTAAAATATTTAATAGATGAAAAAAATTGCAGAGTTTTTCATCAAATCTTGCTAGCTATGGATAATGATTGGCGCGAGTGCATCAATATGGATGAACATTTGTATATAATGACAATTAAAGCTAATTTAGCACATTTTATTTCCAATAGTATATTGAGTGTTAGTACGATTATTGCGATACCTTTTTTCTTAGGCGAGTATATAATTCATTCCGTATTTTTAACTGAAGATCAAAATGATACTTTACGGCCGCTTCCTATGAAGATTCAACTTCCCTTTGATACTCAACAATCGCCAATATTTGAGATTGTTTATGTGACATTATTTTTACATAGTATAATAATATTTGTCTATATGGTTTGTATTGTAAATGGATTGATTCCTACATTGGTAACTATTATACTTTATATGTATATTCATTTTTCATTAATTTTTATGTGATAAGGAAATTTATGATGTAGAATTAAAACTTACTAATAACTACAGTAAACCAGTCGTAATAATATTTTACGTTTTTCTAGAATTCTGTTATATAAGATAAATGCACTAGTTACTGAATAATTAATGAACCTAATCCAATTATTGGACAAAATGACAAAAATTTTAAATATCAATTTTTAATATAATATGGACAACTCTAAATAAACTCGTTGTTTATAAAAATTTGATAATGAATTGAATGATTTATAGTCACACATAAAATTTTATTAAAAGCTTATAATATTTAAAATGTTTACCATTTTGTTCAATAATTGGCATGTTCACCGTGTAAAAGTAAACTATTAAAAATATATCATTAATATAAACAGTAAAATAGGATTTCACTAAAATCAAGGATTTTATTTATCTTTAGTATAAATACTCATATTTTTTCCTCCATTTTATATCTCATTATAATCAGCGAAATAAAATTTCATTATAAAATCAGCAATTTATTATTGGTCACAAGGAATAGGCACGCACATAAAAGTCATGCGTTGTTATTTATGGCTGTTTATGGCTATTTAACGGATCATAAATGTATGTACCGTTTGGATTTTGGAATTTATTATACATTTGCTATTTATTAGATGCCACTTGTTAAAATGAAGTATTTTGCAACGATTTAGTTTAGTGCCCATATAATACATATTCAACGAACATCAACTAACAATAGTATAACCTTAATATTAATAATTTTCATTTCAATAACGTAATTGTTAACTGTAACACATGTTTTGCACGCTATACATATTAAATTGTTAAGTAAAAAAATTATAATAAGATTATTATTGCTAGTTGGTGTTTATTGAGATATTTTTTTATCAAAATATATCATTAGGTTCGCAAAGAAGTATTGGAAATAATTGAAAAATTATTTAAATCAGATATTTATATACACACTATTTATATTGTACATTATTAATAACTTATATTCTTTATTTTATTATTTTGTAATCTAATGTTACTGTTTCTAATTATCTAATATTATTGACTGAAATAGTTAATATTACTAATTAACGCTTTCAATGAAATTTTATTGGTTTACAGGTAGATTTATAATTGCTATATTTATAATTGCTATAATTAGAGATTATTTACTGTTCTTTAATAATAATATATTATACTGATTTACTTTTAGAGAAAACTAACTAGTACATTTACCTTAAGAATTGTTATCTTCTTAATTTAAAAATATAATTAATGTGTCCGAAAAATATTCTATAAATAATTTTTGAGAAGAATTTCTTCAAGTGTATAAATATATCATATAAAAATATTTCTTGTATTTAAAACATATTCACATTCGAAACATTGTTCACTACAAGCACGAAAATCTCTTTCATATGCAACAATTATGATTTTTGCAAAAATTTAAGTATATTTTAGGTACTACACATTAGTGGACAAATTGATATATTGTGTCATGAGTTTAAAAATATTTCTAAAAGTATTTCTCTTCATGGATCTACCGTATCTTTATTTAGAATGTTGATCGAGAGACATAATAGAATTATATCATTTTCTAAAAACATTGAAAAACTTATCTCATTTATTGCGCTAATGCAAGTTGTTTTGGATACATTAATTACCTGCGGTCTAGGATTTTTCGCCATAATTGTAAGCTCTACAATACATGTGCATTAATTGACATTGTATATATCATTCTTTTTTATGTCAAATTAGGGTATTCATAACGAAATGGGTGTTTTTGTGGTAACAAAAACCATTCTTGCTATTGCTCTCATATTGGCTGAGGTTTTCATCATTTGCTTTACTGGAGAACATCTTAATTACAAAGTAAGTATTTACGTAAGGAGTTTGTAGATCATAAATATAAAATTTTTTAATTTTATATAATTATATGTCATGATGAAATTACGTGGCATTTTTTTTTACAATAATATTTTAATATATTTAATATTGTAATGTACAAATGTTATTTAAAACAAATCTTATTTAAAATAAATATGTTTTTAATAAATATTATTTTTACTTCAGAAATATATTATAACATTTTTTAAATATATATAA